AAATATATATTCATACAAAAACTTGTATGTCAATGCTTATGGCAGCAGGAAACAAACCAAATATCCATCAATTGAGGAATGGATAAACAAAATGTGGCATATTCATACAATTATCCACTATAAAATATGATGAAGTAGAATACGAATGAATCTTGAAAACATTATACAAAGTGAAAGTGAAAACATTAGGCAAAGTGAAAGAAAGTAGACACAAAAGGCCACATATTGTATAATGTCATTTATGTAAAATATCTAGAATAGGCAAATCCACAGAGAAAGAGAGTATGCTAGCAGTTGCCAGGGAATGAGATGCGGGAGAGAGAATTAGAAGTGATTGCTAACAGGTTGTGAGGTCTCTTTGGGGGACAGAGACGTTCTGAAATTAGATAGTGGTGACGGCTGTACAGCATTATGAATATACTAAAAACCACTGAAAATGGAGAATTTATGGTATGTGAATAATATCTCTAAAAATTATGGTGAATTTATGTATGTGAACAATATTTTAATAAAAATTATATAATAACCTAAATAATCTTACATCTATTCAAACAATTAGATTTGTGGTTAAAATCTTCTAAAAAGAAAACTCTAGGCGTCCCAAGTGAATTCTATCAAATATTGAAAGAAAAAATAATACTATTACCAATTCAACACAAATTCTTCCACACAAGTGAAAAGGAGGGAGTTCTTATAACTCCATGTATGAGGCTAAAATTACTTTGATACCAAAATCAGCCAAAGACTTTACCAGGAAACAAACAAAAATCTACGACTGATCTCCCTCATAAACATAAATGCAAAAAATGTAAACAAATTTTTCACATATTGAACTCAGCGATGAATATATAAGAAAGACCATGGCTAAGAAAAATCACCACCAAGTCGGATTTACCTCAGCAATGCAAAATGTGCTTGCATTCGAAAATCAATCATTGTAATTGTTTTCATAGCTGTAGAGAAAGTGTTTGACAAAAATCTAACATCCATTACTACTAAAAAGAAAAACAAAACTATCAGCCATTAGTGAAATGCCTGATACTAGGGGTTGAGGCAGGGAAAACACAAGTGTGCCTGGAGTCTTTCTATATTGGATTCTTCCTGCTGTAACGCAGTCTTCACCATTCTACCCTTTTCTTCTTAAAATACATATCTTCTGGTCTTTTTATCTGAGTTCATAAAGCTTAAGTGGTTCTCTATTGCCTACAATAGAAAATCTAACTTCTATGCATAGCCTGCAAAGGTACATCATCATTTCACCTCAATACCTCTTTCTGGGCTCAAATTCTGCCAATTTTCAGAATACATTCTATTCTTAGCCACATGAGAGCCACTCAGAATTCCATGTATATGCCTTTTACTTTCCTGCCTGCATATCTTTATGCATGCTATTTCTTGAGCTTAGAGAGCATTCCTTTGTATTCTGATTCTGGCAAAATACAGCTTACACTGATTCACTCCTGGCCCAACTTCAATCTGTTCTTTACAGGCATAAAGGGTGATTTTATTTTATATACAAATCTGATCATGGTAAACCCAGCTAAACCATTTTGTAGCACATAGAAATTTCATGGGCCATAAGTTTCAATGTGCCATTTCTTATTTTTGTGTAATATATCTGTATAACATATATCTTTAATAAATTTTTTACTTAAATCTTTCCCTCAAGCTCCATTCCTATGAAAGCAGGAAACTTAACCCAGTTATTTTTAGGTTAATTTAATTGTTCTCGTGCTTTCTTAGTCATTTAAAGCATACGTTATGTCAATTCAGAGTACGCATTTTCTGCTCAGGGTGGCATTGAAGATGGGAAGGCTATTGTAGTGTCTATATCAGAGGAGGCATCTGTTCTGGCATCATTCTCTCTCCTCTGACATTCATCACAGTGGATAGGTGTCTCATCCTGTGTGTTTCTGGTCTTTAGCATATATCTCCACTGGTATCTGATGAAACATCTTTTGTCCATTGGCCTTCATTAGCATGACCCATATTAACTGAAACACCACTTCAGCCTCTGTGTCAGATAACTGGCAGCCTCCATGTCAGTTACTGAGGGTGATAGCGTATGACTGTTGTCTGCTGTTTCTCTCCTGTCACCTACATTAGCCATCAGTTCCCTAGTACTCCTATGCCTCTGTAATCTTTCACTTTTCTGGATTGCACCCTGTTAAAACTTTTCTATCAAACTCTTCAACCAAAACCTTGGTGACATTTCTATGAAGCTTTCCATTTCTCAGAGTTTTATTTGGAGAACAAGACATGGGTCTTTTCTATGCTCAGTTTATCAACAGACATAAAGATATGTCTCAATTACAGGGACTACTTTGCATTATTTCCTTGGCGATGGTGTGGTGGTGATGATTTTACATCTGTATTCCCACAAGACTTTAAGTTCACTGAGAGCAGGAACTGTGTGTCTGTTTTACTCATGTTGGTGTCTGGCTCAGTATTCAATTTTGAATCAGTATTTACCAGGAGCCTAACTACTCTCAGACAATATTGAATAGACAAATGAATGACTCAGCTTGTATGTTTCTGCTCTTGTCAAAACCAGTTTTTCTATCTAGTATCAAAAATTTTGTTTCTGACTACAGCAACTTCTTGTTTAATCTTGGTACAAAGAACATGGCAGGTGAGGTGCAAGAGGTGACAAAGATGAACTTGAGAAAAGAGAAGAAAGGGCATGATATAGTACAATAAAGGAAGAATTAGCCATAGTCAGGGTTTACAGCATGGGAAGAACTTATTTTTCTTGTTAGAAACACATAAAGAAGTATAACTATTGGGAAATGTCCCTCTATGCTCCAATAATAATGTGTGTGAAGCTCTTTTTATTACTTGAGTTCTTTTTAATTAGAGTAGATGCACAATAAATGTTTGTTAGATGACAAATCATAGTACTGGGAATCTAAAAATAGCTTTTGTAGCCTATCTCAAGATTACTGTACTAAGAAACCTTTTCTTCTATCAGTGTATGGGAAACTTTGTTTTTGAGGTCATATCAGTGGAATGGAACATCCCACTCTTGCCTAAACAATATAAGTAAGCAAGGGGGGTCATTTGACCCAGAGAAACAGCCCAGATTTACAACCCTGTTGCAGAACTTCAGATGAGTTTGGGGGCTTACCATTTCATATTTATCTTAACTTTGCAGTTTCTGGGGAAACAGGATCTTTGTAACAGCCTGAACAGAAGTGACCCCGTTTTGTTAAAACTTGGAATTTAAAAACTTGTTCTCTCTTGTAACCCAAACCACAGAGACTGCAGCTAATTGCCAGAACACAATGACTCTTGCTGTCACATTGTACACAAAATAATTACAGAAAATTGTTTAACTCGGGGCCAGCCTTTGGCTCACTCGGGAGAGTGTGGTGCTGATAACACCAAGGCCATGGGTTCGGATCCCCATATAGGGATGGCTGGTTAGTTCAGTGGGTGAGCATGGTGCTGACAACACCAAGTCAAGGGTTAAGATCCCCTTACCAGTCATCTGTAAAAAAATTTTTTTAAAGAAAAAAGAAAATTGTTTAACTTAGAAAAAAAAATTTTTTAAAGAAAAAAGAAAATTGTTTAACTTAGATGAGCATTCTTTACTAGCTTACTAACTCTGATCTTATTTAAGAATAACAGGAACTGAACCCATGGAGAATGAAGTAAGACACTGGTCAACTCCCACCCAGGAAATTCCTTGAGGATTATCTGAAACATTCAAACATGTCTGAATGACTCCACTTGGTCACCGTAAATCAGTTTTCCACCACAGACCTCTATAGAACCCTTTGGCAAACCTGGAGAGGCAAAGACGGTCTTTATTTTTACTTATTTATTTATTTATTTTTGTTTCTTTATTTTATTTTATTTTATTTTTGTCTGATCGGTAAGGGGGTCGTAACCCTCAGCACGTGTGGTCTGCACCAAGCTCAGCCAGTGAGCCCACGGGCCATCCCTATATAGGATCCGAACCCGTGGCCTCGGCACTACCAGCGCTGCACTCTCAGGAGTGAGCCACGGCCCCGCCCCAAAGATGGTCTTTAAAACATAAGCCCACCATTTCCACAGGCTGCCCGGACTTTTCCTTACACCAACTCTTAGTTTCCTGATTAAAGGCTACTTTTCCTTACACCAACTCTTGTCTTTCAATTATTGGCTATCGAGTGGCAAGCAAATGGACCGGACTTTTCCTTACACCAACTCTTGTCTTTCAATTATTGGCTATCGAGTGGCAAGCAAATGGACCTTTGGGGGGTCTCGGTAACGCCTTGACTTTGCCTAGCACCCCATGCTTGTAGAGAAAACTGCTCCTAACAGAAACCTAAGTAGTGTTTCTAATGGGACCCGGTGAGGACACACGACCTTTTTCCTTTTGAGTGATTTTTGCCTTAACAATAACTCCCTAGCTCTGCTTCCATCGTTCCCCACTCCTGGAAAAAATCTGCGATACCCCATTCAAAGCTGAATCCCTCTGCTTCCTCCGTTTCTTAGTCATTTAGCACAAGCCAATACCCTATTTTAATCTCGGTTTCCTCCTACTGAGATGTTCCCTGGTTTCCCATGGTATACGATTTGCCTTTCTGTAGCATCTTAACAAACAACTTTGCTTGGTGAACTTTATTGATATAAAGCGCTTAGCTCCAAAGTAGACATTCAATTGCTTGGCTAGGTAGCCACGTGGATTCATATTGCCATTATAAGCAACAACTAAAAGTAATATCTACGTGTGAATATTGCAGTCCCACATGCGAAATCTCATAAGCCTTAAGAATCTACTGCAATTCAAGCTCTGACACATAACAAAAAGAACAGCGACAAGGCGATGCCCCAGAAACAGGAGACTCCCAGGTAGGAGGAGCATCCTGCCGCACGTAACGCAGACGGACTTCCCGAATCCCGTCCTAGGAGCCCCAGAGGCAGCGCGCATGCGCAGCGCTCGCGAGTCGCGCCGTGTCCCTTCCTGCGCCTGCATCCGGGTCCTTGGGCTTCGTGTTCGGCGCGCCCGCTTGGCTCGCCCGCGGGTTACTGGTTGTTGGTCGTTGAAGCTGTTCCAACGTCGGAAGAGCCGGTGGCTCCGCGGGTGAGTTTAGGGGGCGGCCCAAAAGGGGACTCGGACGGGAACCTGGCTGGCGGTTGCTCCCCTCGGGGTGTCGTGGCGAGGTAGGGACACGGGGCCCTGGGCAGACTGGGGGTCCTAGGAGCTTCGAGGGGAGGGACGCAGTGGCGGTGGGGGGTGGTCCCGGCCTTGCGCCGCTCACACCTGACTGTCCTCTCCGGAATTGGGCCTCCGGGAGGAGGTTTCCCTGTCCCCTCTTCTTCCGCGGCTTTCTCCTAACACCTCTCCCCACATTTGTTAAAAATTCCTAACAGTCATCCTTATTTGCATTCGCTGTACTTTGCGGAGTGATGGCCCAGCAGCCACACAGTTGGGGTGAGTCTGCAGCCCGCGCCGTCCATGCAGGAACCACAGCCTTCTCTGCTGCTCCTCGTCCCTCATCAGGATCGGTCACCCACGCGCGCGGCCAGGCCACCCCCTGCTGCGCGCCCCCTTCCTGGTCGGGGCTTCAGAGACCTTTTCTAGTCATGTGCAGCGTTGTGTAGAGAAGAGCTCAGAGCAGAGATTCTGAGAGTCTGCTTGGCCCTGCCACTAACTGGTTGTGTAACTTATGTGGCATAGAAGTTTCCATCCAGCGCCGAAGTCCTGAAAGCTGTGTTCAGCTGCCTTTTCCCCAATTGATGCACATCCGAAATGAATCAGCACCTGACAGAAGATGAGGGAAGGGGTGGTGCTGTGTCGTTTTTGAATGCTGTCTGTTCATGATGCCAGAGAGTTGCATAGGGCCACAGCAGTTTGGATGTCTGAAGATTGGCAAAAACTGAAAAAGGCACTTCTTAAAAATGTGAATGAATGTGGTGAAGACATTCTTCTTTCCTCTGGGTAAGGGGATTCATCTGGGACTTTCAGAGGTGAACTCTGCGCCCTCCGACGAGTTTAAAAAAACAAACAAAAGCTTTACTGCACCTTGGTCTGAGACTTGCTTGAACTTCTTTGCAACGAAGTGTATCGTGTTCTTTTCCAAATTTAACCAGATTGTAAGAATCATCTATGATATTTTAAAAGTGCAGATTCCCTGGGCCCTATCTCAGATATGTTGAAATACTGTGTCTGGGGAGAGGGGCCTGATAATCTGTATTTTTAACAAGCGTCTTAAGTGATTCTCAACGGATAGGGCATGTTTGGAGCATGGGTCTTTGAGTCAGAAAGACTTAGTTTTAAATCCAGCCTTCTCACTCCCGACTTAATAGCTTTATAACTTTAGCAATAAACTTATCAGAGTTGCAGTTTTCTGTATCTGAAAAGTGAAAATGATAATTTCAACCCTAGAGACTATTAAAGTAAGTGATTCTAAGCCTTTTGGTGATAAGGTCCTTATCTTAATCGTTTTGGTAACCTAACTATAGCATAGTACTTAGCATATTAATAGGTTCTCACAAGTGTGTTGAACTGAGAAAAGAGTTAGCATGCCCAGGACACAAAAGACACTTGTGAGTCTCTAATGCCCTTCCTCCTCCTTACCTTACAATTTTGTTTTTCTTTTTATTAATAATCAGTTTACTGAGTACTCTGATTAGAAGTAAATATATCTTTTGATGGTCATACCAGCAGCAGTGTTTCTAATTCTTTGATGTAGCTCTAAAATTGTTTTTAACGTTAGATTATTGATATATTTAAACGGAGGCTGAGCATATTTGTTTGATTAAGTTTATGAGTTGCTGTGTAATTTATTATCTGGGAATGTTACTTATTTCTTGTTGCTATGCCACAATTTTAGGTCATGGTGATCATAAATTTTTGTTATGATTTGATTTTTTTGTTTTGTCAGAATTCTAAATCATGTTCTTAAGGTTATCATTCAGATGCCATATATTCATTGTAATGAGACCTTCTACTCCCATTAATTTAAAAAAATTGACTTATTATTCCATGTAAAGTATGTGAGTATAGAACTCAGGAATGCTGAAGCTGTGTTTTAAAAGGATTGGTGTTGGTGACTGATCTATTTAAATATAAAACTAAGAATTAAAATCTGGGAACTGTGGTCATAGAATACAATGTTAATGTTATAAACCTTGATAATACAAAAATAGTATATCTTAGAGAAATCAGGAGGTGCAACTTAGTGTAAGAATGCTGATCTCTACATCTTTCAGTCCACATTATCTAAAATGGGATCATGTAGTTTTAAAATGACTCTGATCTCTAATATTCATATAATAATTTTTCTTAACCTTAGAGTAGTCTTTTTTTTTTTTTTGGACCAGTAAGGGGATCACAACCCTCAGCACGGTGTGGTCCACAGCACGCTCAGCCAGTGAGCACACCGACCATCCCTGTACAGGATCTGAACCCACAGCCTCGGCGGTACCAGCACCACACTCTCTCGAGTGAGCCACGGGGCCGGCCCAGAGTAGTCTTTTAAGAACTAAAATTGCTTTTTGTGAAGAAATCCTACCCCTTCCCCTCCGTTGATCAGCACTTTTAGTTCACCTTCTTTTCTTTTTCTTCTGAATTCACTTTTTATTCAAAGTAGCATGTCTAGCGTGATATCAATGTTAAAAATTGTTTCTGTACATCTTATTTATATGTATGCATTAGATAGGTAACTGGAGTGAAGTATACCTAGTAATAATGAAAATTATTTCTGAGTGGGGGGATTTAAACATTGTTCTACAGAAGGGAGATTTGGTTATTATGTTATTTATAGGGAGAGTTGTGGGTTTTAGTAACCCAAAAGCTGCTGGGTAATCATTAATGCCATAACTTGTAATCAGCAAATGAGTGCTGCTTTGTTTGCTTTTAGGGTTTTTTTATGTTGCTTTAGTACTAGTATATGTTACACCTGTAGACTGTGTAGTGTGGTATCTTTGTAGTAAGATTGCCTTAATTTGAATTCTGGCTTTGTCACTTACTACTTGTGTGACCTCAGTCAAATTATGTGAGTCTGTTTCCTCATGTAAGACTAGATGTTTTATTCACTTCGCAAGATTGTCGTAAGGATTAATATACATACTTAAATGACCTAGCCCACTGCCTGAAACCAGTGTCGGTTCAAAAGGGAACAACTATTATTACTATTTTAAAAGCACCGGTTGTATTTGTATATGTGCATGTCCTCCTTCAGTAATGTCCTTTTTAAAATCATCAGTATATTACATTTCTGTTTGAATGTCTGTAAGTTACTTAAAGTGCTCTATTATGGAATTTTCTCAGGTTTGGACTTCTTGTCCTGGAAGCTGTGCATCACCGTAATGAGGCTTGTAATTCTTGATAACTATGACTTGGCTAGTGAATGGGCAGCCAAATACATCTGTAATCGCATCATTCAGTTCAAACCTGGACAGGACAGATATTTTACACTGGGTTTACCAACAGGTAATAAACACTTTTTTCATTTCAGATACTCAGGTTATCTAAGGTTGTGGAATTGTAGGGTTTCTCTTAGTAAAATACCTTTCCCATTCATTTCTTGTCATATCACTGATTGGACATGTTAGGCTATAAAGCCTGAGATAATTGTATGTATATAATGTAGTATCTACATTTTGTTACTATAGTGTTAAAATTCTATCTCACCTACCATTTAAAATGCAGTAGGAAATATCATCTAACTTAAGTAATGGTCATAATATTTTGTGTACCTTTTTCTAGTAGTCCCTTGCTTATTTTCAGGGATATTGCTTTCACTATTCATATCATTTCTTAATAGATTTGTTTTCTTATTAATCATTAAGAGGTACCTAAAGTATGTACTACTGTCTCTTAATTTCACCATACCTTCTCTTATTATCATATTAGCCCTTTAATATTTCTTTACTTATTTTCCTTCTATTATGAAGTATTAAACAAGTGAAAAATTTGAAGACCGGTATGCCTTCATCATAGAATAAACATAGTATTAATTATGTATTTTATTGGGTTTAGTTTTCTCTTTGAGGCTCAACTAAGATAGTGGATATACAAGTCCCTTGCATACTGTAAATACTATATAAGTTTAAGGTTTTCATGAGTGTGTTTTATCTAAACAGACTATTTTCTCATATTCCTCCCTTGTACATGCTAACTATGTAAAAGCTGTGATCATAATTTTTTTCCACTTGGGTAATTTCCATGAATGGTACTCTTCAAGTTTATGTTTTGTTTATTGTTTTGCTTTTCTCTTTTGGTCCAGGGCAGTAGATCTTGGTGAGAATGGTAAAGGAGTATTTTTTTTTTTTTTAAGTAGACACACCAGTAGTGCACACCCTCAGCACTCTCAGTTCTGATATGTGGGCCCTCGTGGTTGTATATGGCTTCTGTATCATTTTGCATACTATTCACATGGGTTGCACTCATGCTACCTGCCTTAATCTCTTTGTCTTAATTATGATGCAGAAATAAACAGTAATTTGAGTGTGGAGCCCTCGTGGTTGTATATGGCTTCTGTATCATTTTGCATACTATTCACATGGGTTGCACTCATCCTACCTGCCTTAATCTCTTTGTCTTAATTATGATGCAGAAATAAACAGTAATTTGAGTGTGGGGACAGAAGGACTTCAGAGTCCTAAATACCAGCAGTGCTAAACACATTTCTATCTATTTAGATTAACAATGTTTGCTTTATTTTTGATGGTATAACTGCCTAGTAATACAACTGCCAAGGGAGTATCTCTGGAAAACCTTTGTTGGTATTTTCCAGTACTGTTCTTCATTGACATTGACATTGTTAATTGTGTGTCCCCCACTGCTTTTGAAATTTGAACATACCTGTCTGTAAATGCAATAACATGCTGAATGGTAATTATCTCCCCACCAAGCACAATTTCTGGGGAATATCTGTTCAAATATGTTTACTGGAGTGATCTTAATGAACTTGACATTTAAAGGCCTGCAGGCTGTGGGCCTGGTCTGCCTCCCAACCTTATTCCCACCATTCCGCAACACTGAATTGGGCTAGGCAAATTGGACTACTTGTAGCATCAAGAATAGGCCTGAACTTGCTGGCTTCTTTACTTTGCTTTCACTTATGTTGCTACCGTGTTATATAATGGAATATATATGATCATTGGAACTAGACAGATCTAGATTTGAATCTCTGGCTTCACTGCCATGTGATATTTGGAAAATTCCTTAATAATTTTGATCCAGTTCTTCCATCTTCAAAATTAGAAAATAATGCTAGTTTCACAAGTTTGTAACATTTACATGAAGTAATGTATAAAAACACCAGCACAGTATCTAGCCACATGATAGGCATACAGATGTCAACTTTGAACCTCCTCCCCCGTCTTTTTGCTCTTCTCAATTTCTGCTTGCTCCATCTTGATGAATTCCATGTCTTCTTCGACTCATTTGAAATACCATCTTCTTTACTCATTTTTCCAACAAGCAAGACTATTACAGTCATCTTTCTTTGATTCACTGCAAAACTCCAGACTTCTTTTAAGTTATTTATAATGTTTTTCCCTGTGTCATGATTGTTTTGTACTTGCTTATTCCTGTATTGTGAGTTCTTCTAGGATAGAAAAAGTCTGAGTAATCTCTGTTTTATCTCAATCATAGTAGGCACTTGCTACATGTTGGTTATGTTAGTAAAGCAAATATTAAAATTAAGTTTCTTTAACCAGTTCACCCTGTACCATATCTTTCATCTTCTTTTCCTTCAGCCACATTGATTAAAAAATAAAAAATGGGTGTGTTTTTTGTCACCACCATTGTGACAACTTCTCACTTTTTCAATTCATGTGTCCGTAAGTTGAAGGATTTCTGTAATTCTTCTCTTGAAACCAAAAGAGACAATATTCATTTACACTTCCAGAAAGGAAAAAGGGAAAGCATATTTATCCATCTTTTAGCCAGATTTCACGTTAGTGGATTATAATTCCTATATGCTCCTTGAGTAGACATTTTTTGTGCAGGTTTTTTGTTTTGTGTTGTTTTGTTTTGTGATTGTTAGTGGGTGGGTTAAGAGTCAATACCCCAAACATGTTTGGGAGGGCCAGGTCACTAGTTATAAGAATGCAGTTAATCTAGTCTTTCAGTTTGGAGTTAAAATGAAAAAAATACAGGAAGTTTTGAAAACAAAGAGGGAGACTATCCACAAGTGGCTAAATTCATTTTTATCTGTACTGTGTTATATAATGAAGCACCAGCAAATAAATCTCTTTTCAAATACCAACTAATATTATAAAACATGTAAAAAAATCACATTATAAAACAATAAAATCAAAAACTCAAATGAAAAATTCAAAGTCAAGATCTCATTTCCTAGAAGTCATCTCTTAAACAAATAACATTTCTCTTTCTCACTTTATACATTGCAGTTGGTACGTGCTGAAGATTTGACAAAATGAGAAACAGGGGCACCATTAAAATTTTGTAAGACTAATGTTTCTCACTCAGTCATTGCCAGTTTTAGAGTCTGTTTTGAAAATAGGCACACTATTTAAATTTAGCTCCGGTTTCTCTGTTGATTTCAGTAAATGGTCAACACTTGACCTATTTATGTATCATTTATCCTATAGCTGAATATTTTTTTCAAAGGACCCGATGTTTATTTTTCTTAGTTTAAAATGTGCTCTCTAGAAGTTTCTAGTCTTAGAATTTGCAGTAGTAATTCCAAATACTCAACAACTCAAGAATAATTTTCCAAACTTAAATTTGTATTGACAGATTTCCAGCTTATTCAGCAAATTTTAGTTTACTAAAATTTTAAGGTACCTTGTAAAGAGACTAATTCAACATATATTTGTTAATTGAATATTTAAATTAATAATTGTTTGCCTAATAAGGTAGAGATACAGAATATTATTAAATAAGAAAAGAATATGTGAAGTTAGTATTAACTTCTTTTAAAAATAGGTTTTCAGGTTATTTTAGAAAATGAAATCTTTATCTGTTTTTAGGAAGTACGCCTTTAGGATGTTATAAAAAACTAATAGAATATCATAAGAATGGTGACCTTTCTTTTAAATATGTGAAGACCTTTAACATGGATGAATATGTAGGTAAGCTATATGTGAATATATTTAATATATTATTTGGATATGTTATATATTGCATTTTGAAGAAAATGAACATATTCTTAGAATATTAATATATTATTTGAATTTATTATAAATATAATATGAATGTATTTCTAGAATATAATGTACTGCTTTTTGATTAGATTGGGAGGTTATATAAAAATCTGTATTTTTATGATGACAGCAGAGTATAGTGGAAGGAACACAGGGCTAGAAATCAGAAGATCTGCATTCATCCTGGGCTGTGCCACTTACTAGTCATGTAATTTGGAGCCAATGCATTCATATTTCTCATTCTCTCTTTTTTTTAATCTTAAGGCTAGAAATCAGAAGATCTGCATTCATCCTGGGCTGTGCCACTTACCAGTCATGTAATTTGGAGCCAATGCATTCATATTTCTCATTCTCTCTTTTTTTTAATCTTAAGACACAGTTAAAACTAGTATTGTAGGGATAAATGAAGTAATGGGTATGTTAAAGTAATTAGTAAAATAAAGACTTTTTCAGGTAAGAGGCTATATATTAGTAGCCATGAAGCTATTACAATTTATTGAATGTTAACTTGCTTAAATGGAAAGATCTATAATGCATAGAAACTCTGTGTTAAAATTTAAATATAGAAAAACATTCTTAGTGGTAGCATACATGATAGCCAGAGAATTGTTGTGATTCAGTGTACTTTGCATGCATGTAGGAAGAATAGAGGAGGAACGTGGTCAACATTTCACTTGAATGGCTAATTTATTTCGAGCATAATATATAAATCAGTTCCTTTGGTTCAAATTTTGTGTGTTTGAAAAGTGGAGTATAGTGATGAAGGGCACATGATTTAGACTTCCGGTTTTTGAATTGCAGCACCTTTGTGAATTTCAAGACCTTGGGAAAATTTCTCTGTGTTTCAGTTGTTTATCAATAAAATTCGAATGATAATAGTAATTCAATAGATGTTTTATAAATTAATTGAGTTATTACATACGTGCAAAGTGATTAAAATAATGCTGGGCATATAATAAGCATATATTCCACAAAAAAATACTTTTAAATTGAATATGATACAGAAAGGTTGTACATTTTAAATATCATTTATGGCTCAGAAAAATAAACTTTAGATTTATTTTTAGAAATAGTTACATTTTTATTAACTTTATATTTAGGACTTCCAAGAAATCATCCTGAAAGCTACCATTCTTATATGTGGAATAACTTTTTTAAGCATATTGATATAGATCCTAATAATGCTCATATCCTTGATGGGAATGCTGCAGATTTAGAAGCAGAATGTGATGCATTTGAAAAGAAAATAAAAGAAGCTGGAGGAATAGATCTTTTTGTTGGAGGTATGTAAAAACATTTTGTCATTAATCATTTGTTAATATTTGACTTAGGTGTTTTAAATTTTTTTTTTAATCTTACCATTGTGTACTGTAAAGAACACCTGCAACTGTCTATATTACCCATTTATTCAGATACTGATATGTTTTATTTTCATCAAAAAATAATCTTAAAATTCTAACAGTTGGAATTGTTTAAATTATGCCCTGAGAGGTAGGTCCCAATTGCTATTAATAGTAATCCTGTTTTACAAATGATTTAATTTTACTGAACTTCAGTAAACTTCCCAAGGTCACATAGATAGCAAGTGGCCAAAACATGATGCAAATTTACATCCGACTATAAACCCCTAATTACCTCTTCTAATACCTCTTTAAGGTTGACAGTTTACCGCATCTTTGAAAATGAGTGATTTGTTTCTTTTTCTAAATGATAATTTTATCTTTTTAATATTTCTTTAAAATTCCAGCCCAGCCTACTTATCAAATTACAGAGTTAAATCTAAAAGTTCCCATGAAGAACAGGTGGATTTTAGCAGATGACTTAAATTTCATCTCTCATTGAAAAATGTTAAGAATGGTGTAAGACTTTTTATTTATCATCAGTCTTTAGTTAATATGAGTAAAGCTATATAATGGTCTTAATAAATTCCAAAGTGAATGAATGTTTAATTGACCAAATTTCACTTATCATTTATGTGTGTGTGTGTGTGTGTGTGTGTGTGTGTGTGTGTGTGTGTGTGTGTATACATAACATACAGTTGAACATAGGAAGAGTCTATTCCTTTATAACGATGTGGTTTTCTGTTACTGGTATGAAGCATCTGAGGCAGGTAGCTAAATGCCATTGAAACAATATTAACGTCAACTAAACTAAAAACAAAATTGTTTTTTGCCAGATTCTTTAGTGTCCAACTAAATATGCTAATGCTCACATTAACATTAAGTTATCTGTATCTATCTTATAATTAATTTATTAGAAAACTGCTCAAAAGTACATGAATTAGATCTTCAGTAGAGTTGTATTGAAGTTAATTTATGGTTGACATCATCAAGTATATGATTGTGATGCTTGGATGCCCTTGGAGAAAATAGGGGTTTATAGTTAGACATGAATTTGCATTGTGTTTTGGCCACTTGCTATCTGTGTGACCTTGGGAAGTGTTACCTCTCCCAGGGTGATGGAGATGCAAAGGATTACTCAAAGCCCATTTCTCCAGAGCAGTGAGAGGCTCAGAAGGGGTTAATTCCAGGAACAGTTCCTTCAAGAGAGAAGGTTTCTTAGGAATAATGCCGAATCAGGTTTTCTCCCAGTTTTTATTGTCGAAGCAAGAAAGTTACAGCAAAGGAACACAGGTGATTACAAAAAGAACAATGAAATAATTGTCATGACAACATTTAATCCCCCAACCATTAACCTTGAAGCTTTTAGCTCACATACTTTCCCATCATTAGGTTTAGCTTTACCAAGGACGACTGCCCTTAGAGCAAGCATTTTTCCTGTGTTACAATTTTTTTTATCTACAACAGAGACTTTAGTCCTGGGAAAGTTTTCAGTTTTTCCCAAGCTTAGCATTTCTAAGTGCAATTCTAAAAAGTTAGGCTATTCCTAAACTAAAGGGCTTTGGCCTTGCTAAAACTACAGGGCTGTGGCCCCACTAAGATAAAGGTACTATTAACCTTTAAGTTAGGCCCCATGAAATACATTTGCTTATTAATGTTAGTATCCTCCACAGGGAAGTTTATTGAAGTTCAGTATAACTAAATCATTTGTAAAACAGGATTAATATTAACTGGATTAATATTAACCATTCCAAAATTTGTTAAGATTAATCAAGCTATAATAGTTATAAAATGCCTCACAGAGTACTTGGTATATAATTGATACTCTGTAAGTGCTACTTCAGTCTTCTTTTGGTCTACACTGTAGATGTTAAAATTATCGTTCCTTTGTTTATTTAATTCCCTGAGATTTTTACTGAATTATCTCTAAGGACATCCAGTAAGATTGAAATTTTCTTTGAGGAAGTTTTTATCCCTACCTAGCAGGGCCAATACCATTTACTTTCTAGTGTGGATAGAATGGTTATTTATCTGAGCAAGAATCCAAGTTAGACTCTTGCTATTCAAAATGGACAGTTGTCTGTATTTTAAATAAAATTTGCTAATATTATTTCAATAATCCTAGAGAACATTTGCACACTCCTGTTTTGTATATATGGCTTAATTTTGAGATAATTACCATTTGCACCTGCCAGTATCAGTGCTAAGACAATAGATCCTTGAGACTACCTTAGGAGTGCACTAATCATCCACTCTTTAGATTTTCTAAACTCAATACCAAAATCAAGTAGAGTGACTGGATTATAATATACCTAAACTGTTTATCTTAGTTATATCAAAAAATGTTTTCACTCATTTACTGTTATGTCAAAAAAACATGTTAGTTGTTAGAGGTTCGTTATTAAACATGCTGCTTGAAAAATGTCTTCATCATTTGTGGACTTTTTTCCCCTCTGTTAATTTATTGACCTTACATAAGAATCCATGTGACAAATCCCTTGTAAACTGAATGCCAGGAAATAGAATTTACTGGAGGAGAGAAACTAAGAATTCTCTAATTTTATTTTGTTTTTCTTCCTGCTTTCCAGAAAGCATTTATAGCTTAATGTAAAGCTTAAGGCTGTAACTCTTCTTATCCAAGATTTTCTCCATTCTCCATGGCTTTAAATCATTTCTCATTTCTTTTTATCTAATTTTTTTTTTGGCACTTTTCCTCACTGTAAATTTCCTCAGTTCTCCCTTTGAAGTAGGTGG